TGAAAAGGCAACTTAAGCTAGAGAAGTCAAGGTCAGATCTAAGATAAAAAGCTAAATCTTCCTCCAAGACTTACTTCAGAGTTTTCCTATTGCCCCATGGCAGGGTTGTGACTGAGGGGAGGGGAGAGGAGAGAAGGAGGTTGGTGGCTGTAACAGCCAACATTCACTGAACTCTCACGATGTGCCAAAAATTGTACATGTACTGACTCATTTATCATGGCACTTGACTGCTAAACAGAAGGCTGGTGGTTCAAACCCACCAGCCACTCCTCGGAAGGAAGATGGAGTAATCTACTTCTGTAGTGATACTGCCTCAGAAACCCAAGGAGGGGTCGCTATGGCACATAACAGCAACAACAACAAAAGCACTCTAAGAGGTGGGCTATATTATTATCTCTATTTTACTGATAAGGAAAATGAGGCACAGAGAGGTAAAGCACTTTGCCCAAGGTTACCCAGTAAATGGCTGGTATTTGAACCCAGGCATTCAGACACTAGTCTTCCAACTAAAACCAAACTCAAATTATCTTACATATGATCAAATAGTATGCACTACTGTTAAGTACATTAATAAAAAAATAAAAAAAATTTTGATGCCCATCACTTCCACTTCCACTCTGCCTCTCTGTCCTTGCCCGGAGTATGTCCAGCAGGCAGGGTTTTATTACCGAATATCTCTGCCAAAACTCAGTACACAAGCTATCTGTTCTTTTTTTTCAGAAGAACAAAGAGAAGAGTTTTATGCCAAATTTTGACAAAATTAACAGCAGTTTGTCTACAGCAATTTCTCAACCTTGCACCCTGACCACTATGGATCTCAGTTCATTTCAGAAAAATTCTCCATAAAGTAGTGAGTGGGAAATTCTGATAAGGAGAAGAAATGTGAATAGGGCACTGTCTTCCCTTTCTGTGGACACCAAGAAGGAAGAAGTGAAGAGTATTAGGATTTAAATGTGGAGAAGATGCTCACTGGTGGGAGTTTAAACTCCCTGGAAGGCAATTTTGCAAGAGATACAGCCCAAGATCACCACCTCATCCTTGATTCATCAATTCCACACTAAAAAAAAAAAATTAAGTGATCCTGTGAAATACATCTACCAAGACATTTGCCATTTTAACCACTTTAAGTGTCAATTCAGTAACATTTATTCCATTTGCAATGTTGTGCAACCATCACCACTATCTTTTCTATAAATTGTTTTATCACCCTTAACAGACACTCAGTACTCCTTAAACAATAACTCCCCATTTCCCCCTCCCAAGCACCCCAGGAACCACTCATAAACTTTGGTGTCTGTGCATTTGCCTACTGCAGGAATTTCATGTAAGTGGGCTCATACAGTATTAGTCCTTTGGGGTCTGACTTCTTTCATTCAGCATAATGTTTTCAAGGAGTTCCCAGGTTTGCACCACAGCTACTAACTGAAAGGGTAGAGCTTCCAGTCCAACAGAGGCAGAAGTCTGATGAGCCACATCTGAAGAATTAGCCCCTGGAAACCCTAAGCACAGTTCTGCCCTGAACCACAGAGTGTAGCCGTGAGTTGGAGATGCCTGGGCGGTAGCTGGCTTAATGTTTTCAAGGTCCATCCATGTTGTACTGTGTATCAGGACTTCATTTCTCTTTATGGCAGAGTGGATATTCCATTGTATATATACATTACATTTTGTTTATTCATTCATCTGTTAACAGACACTTGGATTATTGCCATCTTTTAGTTATTGTGAGTAAAGCTGTAATGAACATCAATATACAAGTATCTGAGTTCCAGCTTTCAATTCTTTTGGGTATATATACATACATATCCAGGAGTGGAATTGCTGGGTCATATGGTGTCTTGGTTCTCTAGTGGTGCTGTAACAGACATACCAGTAGTGGTTGGCTTTAATGTAAATAAATAAATCCCAAAAAAGAAGGGATTTATTCTCTCACAGTTTAGGAGGCTAGAAGTCCAGGTTCAAAGTGCTGGCTCTAGGGGCTGGCTGGGTGAAGGCCCCTTAATGTCGGGCTTCAGCTATTCCACTTGTTCCAGGCCCACTAGAGCTGGAGGCTTTTTTTTTTGACTCACGCAGCTGCTGGCTACAAAGGGTAACAAATCTAAGATGGACAGGTAAAATGGCATAGTCCCAAGATCTGCAGGCCAACATGGCAGGCCACCAGTCCAAATCCAGAACCACCCCAAGATCAGCAGGCAACATGGCAGGCCACTGAGATAAAGACTTGGCCAAATACAGGATCCAGATGTGCCAAAAGCTAGAGACCTTCTTAAAGCTTCCCTATACATACTGGAAGCAGGCCACACCCCAAAGGCAACTATTTAGCTGCTCACAGGAGATTCCACCATGGAGTTCATTTTCATCATGGGGAATTACTGCATCCAGCTGCCCAGACACTCAAAACCATGGCCCAACCAAGTTGACGTAAAATCTTAACTAAGTGGTAATTCTGTTTAACTTTCTGATGAACTGCCAAAGTGATTTCTACAGCAGCTGCACCATTTTACAATCCCACCACCAATGGATAAAATCTCCAAGCAATTCCACTTTTAAGAATCCATCTTTACAAATGCATTCAAAGGAAAAAAAAACCTAGAAAGATTCTAAATACCCACCAGAAGGAGAATAAAAACCAAAAAACAAACCCACTGCCATCAAGTTGATCCCAACCCATAGCAACCCTACAGGACAGTGTGGAATTGCCCCACACAGTTTCTGAGGCTGTAAATCTTTACGGAAGAAGACTGCCTCATCTTTCTCTTACAGAGCAGCTGGTGGGTTTAAATCACCAACCTTTTGGTTAGCAGGCTAATAATAGTTTAGTCACTGCACTACCCGAGCACCTTGGAAAGAGAATAGCTGAAGAAATGCTATATGTTGTTGTTACTGTTGTTAGGTGCTGTCGGGTCAATTCTGACTCATGGTGACCCCATGTGTGCAAAACTGCTCCATAGCGTTTTCAAGGCTGTGACCTTTCAGAAGCAGGTCTCCAGGCCCATATTCCAAAGTGCCTCTGGGTAGGTGCAAACCACTAACCTCTTAGCTACTAGTCAAGTGATTAATCATTTGCACCACCCAGGGACTTGACTCCTATGATACATCTTTATGATAGAAGATCATATAGCCACTTAAAAAATAGTAAGAAACAGAGTGGCAAGATGCTATTGGGATTACTGGTGATTTGCATTTCTTTACGTTTTCCTTTGAGAGTGAATATATAATACCATAATGAGATTTAAAATAGTGCTTAAAAGAAAAAAATGTAGAATAGGAGTATTATGGACAGGTGGTGGTGGTAACAAATCAAGACATGACTGCTGCTCTTAAGGTCTCTAATGAAAATGTTCATGTCTTCTGAAAATGCAGGCATAGGGAAATGGCAGGAATCTCAAGCATGGGCAAAAGATTCAAATCCTTGGTCACTTAGGAGAATCCCGGCAGCATTTTCCACAGCCTGCTTTATCTTACTTACAACAGAACAGACCACGTCCTGGAGAAGTAGCTTTCAATTGCTACTTCAATTTTAAGAAGACATGTTCTGCAAATGTTTGATTCAACTCTACCTAAATAGTAAAAAAAAGCTATAATAAACAAAACTTCTACACTCAAAGGTGCTAATATACCAGCATCAAAGCACCAAGAAAGGGTTTATGTGTGCTGTGAACTTAACCAGATTATGTGAAGACCACAGGTGGAGCGTTAGCCTGGGGGTGCAAGGTGAACCCACTACAAAATCCCTGCATTTTGCAACCATTTATCTTTACAATCAAGATTTTCTCAGTATTACATGAAACAAAGTATAACTGAATGTTGAGGCTTATAAAGACTGTAACTGTCACACAACCCCTATCTTCAAATGCCTGTGTTCATGCAAACAACTCTGCCGTTTTCCACAACTCAATTTCTAGCAAATTATAAAGCTGAATTTATGCAAAACCTATAAAACAGAGTTTCTCAACATTAAGACTATTGATACTTTGGGCTGGCTAATTCTTTGTTGTGGGGGGTTGCCCTACATATTGTAGGATCTTTCAGCATCCCTGGCCTCTACTCACTAGATGCCAGTAGTACCTCTGCAGCTGTGACAATTAAAAATGTCTCCAGACACTGCCAAATGTCCCATGGAGGGTGGGGGGTGTACCAAAACTGCCCTGACTTGAGAACCACTGTTTATATTAATCAACTACTGCATTTATCTATTTTTGTACTGGGTTTTTGACTAAGAATTTAGTTGACAATAAAAGGGTCTTCTGCTAAAAATAAATTATTTTGAAATATAAAGCATTTCTGTTTTAGATCTTAGGTTTAAATCTTCACTCCACTCCATCCCTAGGTTATGAACTTCCAACTTATAGACAACTCATACTTGTCCTTTAATGTTGTGTAAATTTGTCTTCACTTTGAAATGACTGAATCAAACTCTACTCGCAACAAAGTCTTCATCACAATCACCTTCACTTGCTGCACGATGCAGCTTTTAAATCACGGAAAATGCTTCCAGCCTTTTCTTGCAGTAAGACTAAACAAGAACCATATACACCTGTTCCGACTTACCTACAAATTTGACTTAAAGACACACTCAGAAATAGATCTTATTCATAACCTAGGACTGCCTGTAGTTGTTTGCCTTTCTCTAAGCCTTCTTATCAGCTGTTACCATAACTGAAAAATGGGAATAATTACAATGTGCCCTGGATTAAATGAGACAGCTTGCATAGAGTAGGGAGCTCTGGTGGCATAGTGCCTAAGGCATTTGACTGCTAACCAGAAGGCTGATGGTTCAAACCCACCAGCCACTCTTCAGAAGGAAGGTTGGGCAATCTACTTCCGTAGTGATACTGCCTTGGAAACTCAAGGAGGGGTCACTATGAATCGGATCCCATTCAATGGCAGTGAGGTTTTTTTTTTTTTTTAAAATACAGAGTAGCTTGCTCCACATATCAGATCTACTATCATCATCATCATTGTGGCTAAAGCCCCAGGGGACCAGACCCCGTGGCTCTTACCTGACTTTTGTAGATTCTTTCGGTAGCCGCTGAGGTTCAGCTGGGTGATGGTCTCTGACACGTGCGCCACAGCAACTTGCACATGCTTTTCAGTGAAGTCAAAACACCAGGAGAGGTTGAGCTCGTGCAGTCTGCACAGAAGATGGGTAACAGGAAAGCATGAAACTATCACTTGGGAACAACAATTCTCTACCTAGGTTGCTGCTGTAGTGTGCCATCAAGGCAATTCCAGGTCATAATGACCCTACAGGACAGAGCAGAACTGTTGCAAAGGATTTCTAAGCTATAATCTTTGTGGGAGCTCTGGTGGCTTAGTGTCTAAAGCATTTGCTAACCAAAAGGCTGATGGTTCAAACCCACCAGCCACTCCTCGGATGGAAGACTGGGCAATCTACTTCCACAGTGAAATGGAAAACCAATGAGGGGTCACTACTCGATGGCAGTGAGTTTGGTTTTTGGTTTGGAATCTTTCTGGGAGCAAATCACCAGGTCTTTTCTCCCACAGAGCAGCTGGTGGGTTTGAACCACCAAACTTCTGGCTACAAGCCAAGCTCTTAACCATTGCACCATGAGGGCTCTTTTCTCTGCTTATAGAGGCTTAAGACAAAGAGGAGATCCCACTTTACTATGCTGCCAAGGAGTGCCCAGCTCAGAGTATTGCCTACAACTGCAGTGAAAATACAAATCTATAAATTTCTTATCATTTATGCACAGAACCCCTGCTTCTCTAAGCAGCTACCTTTGCTCACCTGAAACCGCCTTTTCCCCTATCTTGACATGCTACCTGGCTCCAGCGTGTACCAAAAAGTAGCCAGGAGACTTGAGCAGAGAGCTTAGTGAATGCTGCCCCCTTCTGGAAGAAGAGGGGAGCACTCCCCTCTCCTTTCCTCTGCCCTGACAGCACAAATCTTCTAGGCGGCCTGAATGTAAAAGTGCTGGCCTCCGCATTTTCTTTCTCAGACCACCCAGATAGGTAGAGCAAGCAGTCCCAAAGGTTGAGCAACATGTTTCAAATAAATTGACAGATTATACTGGGGATTCCTAATAAAGAGTGGTTGACATTGCAAAACCCTATTTCATCTTAGTCCGTTTCAGCTGAGACTAGGATTTCAAAGACATTGTCCAAACATTAAGCCTCATGAGAATCTAGGCTAGCATTTCCTACAACCTGTTATATCTGCTGTGTCACTTCTCTGGCATTACTAACTAAAGACAGGACTATGCATTTTATCCTGTTGCTGATCCTTTCTTTTCCAAAAGCAATCTACTTGCAACAAATCATGAACAAGATATAGTTACAATGCTGTACCAGAGCCCAAGGGATATTAAAAAACAAAACAAAACATACAGTATTGTGTCTTCTGCAAACCCTATCCTTCCTCTTTTAGTAATATCTGCAACTTTTAGTCTTTATGTATTAACCTTATCACACAGTAGAAAAAAGATGCTTTTAATGGAGTAACCTGCATTTATGGTTTACATTTACAACGTACCAAAGCTATTTTAAAACTGTAAATTAGGTCTACAGATACTGCAGAGAACAAACCTGACTGTGTGGTCAAGTGTAAACATTCCTTTCAACCATACCATTGATAAACATACTACTCTGGTAGCGTAGTGCCTAAGGAACTTGACTGCTAACCAGAAGGCTGACAGTTCAAACCCACCAGCTACTCCTCGGAAGGAAGGTTGGGCAATCTCCTTTGGTAGTGATACCGCCTCAGAAACTCAAGGAGGGGTTGCTATGAGTCAGGTCCGACTCCATAGCACATAATAACAACAACAACAACATATTTTCCTATGTTTAGTAGTCACTGAGAAAAGGGATTGCTACACAAGTGTCCCTTGTGATCTAAACTGATTTGGCTCCTGAGTTTAGATGGTAAGTGTGAGAGCAAAGGCTGGTGGTTAGAACCCACCCAGAGTCACCTAGTAAGGCAGGCCTGACGATCTGCTACTGAAAGGTCACAGCTTTGAAAACCCACTGGAGCAGTTCTACTCTGCACAAATGGGGTCACCATGAGTCAGAGGTGACGGGACAGCAACTAATAACAACAATGCTCAGACGCAAGAGATAATTGTCTTTTTGATACAACCACACTTTACTCAGGTGTCAAATTTTTACCTGGAACAGCTGTTTAGCAAAGCCTTCAGGGCAGATTCGGAGAATCCAGAGCATCCGCAAAGGTTCAGACGCACTAAATTTGAGTTCTGCACAAGGTTACTGGGAAAAGAAAGAAATCCCAAAGGAATAGCAGTAAGACACTCTTATTAGGTCAACAAGGAAAGGACAACAGTGAAGTTATGCATGCAGGCCTTTGAGTCAGAAGTCACCTCTCACTTTTCTGTATGACACATGGCAGAGCACGGCCCCAATTTCCTCCACAGTGAAATGGCAGTATAAGTACATTCTTGGTAGAGTTGTTAAGATTAAATGACATAATGTAATGAAGGACTTAGCACAGTGCCGGGCACAGAGTAAATGCACAAGAGACACCAGTCAGTGTCCTTTTCAAACTTTAGGGAAAATAACAAAGAAAACGGAATGAACTTATTTGTTTCTCTCAGAATTGAAATTGGCTTCTAGGCAAACTGCTACTTGTAAAGTCAGCAGGTTCTTTACATTAAACATCTTGCAAATTTGTCTTCTTCTCTACATTCCCAAATGCCTGGGTGTTAGTGACACATTAAGAATAATTCTGGAGTCTTACTATATTGCCAAGTTCAA